CTCGCATTTTGTATAGAGGGAAACTGAGGCTCAGAGATGGATCTGACTAGCTCAGTTTCACCCAGCGACAAGATGTACATTTGATCATGTTATTCCTCTGCCTATGGCCCTCTGTGGCTCCCTAGTCCCCCTGGGTAAATTCCAGGCTCTGGGATGGCATAGGCATCCCTGCAGACTCTAGTCCACATCCCCAGCCCCAAACCTGCTTTTGTCCAAGAGCTTTTCCCAGCCCCCTGGGGCCAGGTGCGGTACCTGTCCACAGCCCCACCCCACCTCTGCCTCCTAACACGCGAGAGCACACTGATCGTAAGTGCTCCCTGGTGGCGCTTTGGGGCTTCACGAGGGCTGGGGACATAGTGTGTTGTTTGAGGCTAAAGTCTCAGCGCTCGACACACAGTAGGTGTTCAATACATATTTGTTGAATGAATCCACGGTTGGCGTCATTCATCTGAACAATAATAATGATTTGGGTTCCTATGTTGGGTGTAAAATAGTAGGGGCTTCAGAAAAAATTACGCCTTCTCATGTGACACATAACAATTGTGTCTTTGTCCTTTGACCTAAGCTGACCTGACAGTGGCCCAGGGATGGTGGCTTGGCACACAAGGCAAGCACTGGATGGGGGGTAAGAGATGTCTGTGCCGCAGAAGACGGGGTCCAGGGTGTCTCTTGCTAGCTGGGTGGCCTTGGCTGAGTGAGTCTCCCTCTCTGAGCCTCAGGTTCTTCTTGTGTCCATTAGGACCATGGACAGCGCATAGGGGGCAGTGAAGGTTGAATCTTCGTTTGTTTTGTTTTATTTATTTTTTATAGTTTATTGTCAAGTTGGTTTCCCTATAACACCCAGTGCTCATCCCAACAAGTGCCCTCCTCCATGCCCATCACCCACTTTCCCCTCTCCCCCACCCCCTATCATCCCTCAGTTTGTTCCTAGTATTTAAGAGTCTCTTATGGTTTGCCTCCCTCCTTCTAACCTGTTTTCCCTCTCCCCCTCCCCCTTCTTCCTCCAGCTGGGAGCTGTCCCTTTAACGTGGGAGGAGGGGCCAAAGCTACTGGAAGCCACGGGAAGCAGGGCAGAGCCAGTGCTGGGGCAGGCTGGGGGGCCTGGCAGGCTTGGTGGCCAGGCAGGCTGGGGGGCCGCAGACTGGAGCCAGGCTGGGTCTGAGGACTGCTCGGCAGGAAGGTAAGGCAGTCTGGGGCCCAAATGGTGCCCCTGGGACTCCGTGTGCATGTGTGAATGTGAATGTAAGGGAGTCTGGAAAGTTCTGGGGCAAAGACCTGGTGGGTGGGCACAGAGTGAGAGGGCATGGGTGTGACACCCTCCCAGGGACACTGATTTAACTCCGGGGGCTCCGGTCTCACCTGCTTGGGAAAGAAGGCTGGCTGCCAGGGACTCTGACGGCTGGGAGCAGGTCCTGCCTGCCAGAGGGGCATTCTGCCAGCCAGTGTCCCGGGCTGTGCCACCCAGGTGGCCTTGGGAAAGGCCGGAGGGACAGAGGAGCGGAATCAGCAGATGACCTTTTTCCTAACTCACACCTCAGCAGGTGAGGAGAAGTCAGGCTTGCTGGCCCTGAACCTAAGCCCCAGGTCGCACTGCATTGCCCCGCATCAGGGGGGGCCCGGGGCTCCCACCTCGGCCCGGTGGTTGCCCCATGTGGTGAGAGCCATGAGCCCCTAGGCCAAGGTCTCAACTTGGCTCCAGACCTCAGTCTGGGTGGCCTGCGCCCTATGGGCATCTGGGCCTGATAACGCTGTTGACAGTTGAGGCTTATCCATTTGACTGGTGGATGCTGTCCTTCTTTGGACTGATAGTATAGCTGACAGGCTGGAGGAGGCTAGGAACTGAGCCAAGAGCATTTGGCGCCTCAGGACAACTGGCAATTAGTATGGAAGGCTCACCACTGCCATCACCACCACCACCACCACCTCCATCACCATCACCATCATCATCACCATCATCGTCATCTAATAGAGAAAGCATGGCATGGTGTTAAGGGCACGGATGCCGAGTTTGAATCCTGGCCTTGCCATTTCCAGCTGTGTGACCTTGGGGAGGTTACCTGAACTCTCTGGGCCTCAGTTTCAATCTCTATACAAGGAAGCTAGTAGGTGAACTTACCTCAGGGTTATTGTAATGATTATCCAAGATGTTATATAAGGTCGTTGGCCCAGTGCCCGGCTGGCAGTGGACCCCACATAACAATTAGCTATTATTACATGTCAGGTGTGGAGTTGAAGCCTTCACCTTCTGGCCTCACTTCACCCTCACAGTGACTCTGTGAGTCACAAGCTCTTCTCCTAGTTCGTTGTGTGGTGAGTTCATTCTCACTTCTCAGGTCTCTGTGTCAATGGCCACTTCCTGCAAAAGGCCTTTCCTGACCTTTCTATCCAAAGCAGGTCCCCTTGGTCTTCTCTTTAAGACTCCTATATGTGTGTTTCCTCTTAGCGACTTTCACCATTCCTGATTATTTTGTTGGTCTATACAGTTATTTGTTGAGTACGGGTCTCCCCCATCAGCTCCAAGAGTAGATATCCCTCCTGCTCACTAGGTGTCCCCAGTTCCTAGGTCAGGGCCTGCAGCATAGACTTGCTAGAGTAAGGGTTAGCACACCCGCGTTGTTAGAAGGCCGCAGTGAGATACTGCCTCCAGGGACTCCGCTGACATGTGGCATATACTAGGGACTCCACAAAGGGAGGCTATTACTATTGTTAATCACATCATAACCTGCGAGTTGGGGACTGTTATTATTCCCATATTACAGAGTGGAATATGGCTCAGAGAAGTTGAGACACTTGTTTGGGTCACGCAGCTAGGAAGACAGAGCTGGTGTCTAACTCTGGTCTCTGACCGCAAAGCCCAGAGCCAGGCTGAGGCCCAGGCTGAGGTACTGGGTTTGGGTGACCCACGGGACCCTCTCCCTCAATGCCATGCCCAGTTCGAGAAGGGCCCCTGGCGGAACTGGGTGGCGTGGCTCAGACTCTGCCCTGCCCGGGGAATCCCAGGGCCATCCCAACAAGGCCCCAGGTCAAATCCAGGGGCAGGAGTCCTGAACTCTCTGGCGGGGCAGGGGCGCAGGTGACCAAGGAAGTGTGTGTGGGCGAGAATCCCGGGGCAGTGGAAGGTGGGCCAGGCTGCAGCGCTCCTCCTACCGGCAAATAGTGGAACTGCAGGCGTTGGCCCAATGCTTTTCTGCCCCAGGGTGAAAAAGAAGGGTTGCTTTTGCACCTTCAAAAGACCCCTCTATTTCCCTCCTCTTCCCATTTTGTCCCTTTCTGTTTCTCGCCTGTTCCCACTGGTTCATTCACTAACTGTGCCTTTGCTTAAAACCTCCTGATGTCTTCCCGCCTCCAGTAGAGTTAGAATATTCCAGTTCCTCTCTTTGGTCCAGGAAGCCCTTCCAGAATTCCCTGCCTGCTCTCCTTGCTCACCTCCTCTGCCCAATCCCTTCTCCCTGCACCAGCATGACCCCAAGTTCATTTCTCTCTCAAGGTGCTTCCACCTGCTGTTCCCTCTGCAGGAATGCTTTTCCTTGCGCTCCCTATCATCACCTCTCCAACAACTCCTTGGAGAACTTGCAGATCGAAAGGGAATTCAAAGTCCTCTCAACCAACCCAAAGACGCAGGTCCCATTTGCATCCTGGTTCAAACTGTTAGGATCCCCAAATCACTGCCAGCAAAGCCAACCATTTATCCAATTTAATGAGAGGGATGGGAAGGTGAGCAATGACCAGATATTTGATGATATTCAGAGACGATTATTTACATTTTCAGAAGTGACAATGGTATTGTGATGATGTTTTATAAAAAATTAGCATCGTTGAGGTAGAATTTCCATAAAATCAAAATCACCCCACTTTGAGTTAGAATTCACTGGGGTTTGCACAAATGTGTACAGTTGTGAAACCATGCGGCTACATCATTTGAAAAGAGTTTTTTACTCTTACCGATATGTGCTGAAGTATTTCCCGATGAAATAATACAGGAAGAAAATATAATAATCATAATAGGGGCGCTAGGGTTGGTTAAGTGTGGACTCTTGATTTCAGCTCAGGTTCATGGATTCAAGCCCGTTTCTGGCCACCACTGGCAGTGAGGAGCCTGGTGGGCGGAGCCTGGTGGGTGGAGCCTGTTGGGGCGGGGCCTGTTGGGGCGGAGTCTGGTGGGCGGGGCCTGGTGGGGCGGGGCCTACTCAGACAGAGCCTGCTTGAAGGGAGCCTACTTTGGATTCTCACTATCTCCTCTCTGTCTGCCCCTCCCATGCTCACACTTTCTCTCTCTCTCTCAAAATATCCTTTAAAATAATAATAATAAAAAAGGGGGGAAAATAATAATACAGGAAGAAGGGTGGGTGCAGGTATGGATGAAACAAGGCAGGCCATGTGTGCTTGCTAAAGCTGAGTGATGGGCTGCATAAGAGCTTCATTATACAGTTCTTGATATTTGGCTATGTTCAAATGTTCCAAAATAGAAGTTTTAAAAAAGTTTTTTTCTCTCCTGATAGATTGTTTCTGACTGTGTTTGCTAAAATACCACCCCCTGCCTGTCACCCCTATTTGGGTGAACTTTTGTGATCCTGTCTCCCCAACTAGAATGTGAGCTCTGGCAAAGCAGGGGCTGCCTCTGACTTGGGCACCCCTGGGTCCCCAAACCTGGAATTGCCTGGCACACAACAGGTGCTCAACAAAAGGGTTTTTTGCAGGCGTGCTTGAATGAATGAATGAATGAATGAATGAATCTTGTTCAATCATCACCACGTACTGGCCACGTTCTATATCCCCAGCCCAGTGGGCAGCCCCAGTTACAGAATGAAAGGGTCCCTGGTCTAAACCTTTTGGTCCAGACGGGGCAACTGAGAAGATAGTTGCCTGGAGTCTCACAGCCTGGCAGCCAGATAGGGCTACGGAGCCTGGCTGAGGCTCTTTTCCATCTACCCCTCCCCTGCCCTGGTGAAGGGGACTCGTGCTGGAGCAGCCTGGGCTATGACAGTCACGTTCTTCCGCAGGCTATCAGAATGGAGAGCTCCCTGACTGAGTGTGCTAAGGGTGAGCACTTCCACACGGTCACTCCTCTGCTGGAGAGCTGGGCACTATCCCAGGTGGCAGGCACGACTGTGTTCCTCAAGTGTGAGAACGTGCAGCCTGCTGGCTCCTTCAAGATCCGGGGCATTGGGCATTTCTGCCAGGAGGTGAGGTGTGGGCAGGGGAGGAGATGTGAGATATTACGGGAAGGAGGAGGAGGGGGATGGATGCAGGCTGGATGGGGGCAAAGGCAGGGGAGGAGAAGCGGGCTTGTACAGATGGGAGGGGCAGGAGGAGGGGTGAGGAGTGGGCTGGGGGCGGTCTAACCCCATCCCACCAGGCTCTGTGACATCTGCTCGGGTCAGCCCCTAAACTCATTCCTTCTCTTCCCAGATGGTCAAGAAGGGATGCAGACATTTGGTGTGCTCCTCAGGTGACGCTCAGGGCTGGGTCCTCAGCACTGGGTGTGGGGGAGGAAGAGCTGGCTGGAGCAGCTGTAGATGTCCAGGGATCACCCTCCTCTTAAAGATTCAGCCTCATCAAGGTCATGGTCAAATGGCCACTTCTATTGCTTCCACAGGGGGCAACGCAGGCATTGCTGCTGCTTATGCCGCTCGGAAGCTGGGCGTCCCTGCCACCATTGTGCTACCTGAGGGCACCTCCCAGCATGTGGTGAGGAGGCTGCAGGGGGAGGGGGCTGAAGTTCAGCTGGCTGGAAAGGTAAGGACCCCAGGAAGGAGAAGCTGGGTGGAGTGGGCTGCTTCCCTTTACCCTCACCTCACCCACACACATTTTTAAAAAAATTTTTTTTTCTAGGAGAGAGAGAGAGAGAGAGAGAGAGAGCGTGAGCAGGAAAGGGTCAGAGAGAGAAGGAGTCGCAGACTGAAACAGGCTCCAGGCTCTGAGCTGGCAGGCAGCACAGAGCCCGACACGGGGCTCGAACCCACGAACCGCGAGATCATGACCTAAGCGAAAGTCGGACGCTTAACCGACTAAGCCACCCAGGCGCCCCACCCACACACATTTTTTAAATGAATTATTCCTGGAGCCCAGCCTTCTCATAGGATGATCAGCTGAGGGGCAGGAGTGAGGCATGATGTATATTGAGGGCTAGCATCTCCCACCTCTACCTACCTACCTCTACTTGCCCTGCATGAACCCAGGAGAAACAGGAAACTGATGGACCACGAGTTCGTCCATCTCTTATATCCTCACTAACACTTGGTATTATTCATTTAAAAATTGTTACCATTTAATGAGACAAAATGTTTAGAGAAAGTAGATGGCGGCATCATTTCTCATTCTGAGACCACCCCAATAAGAAAGGTGCCCACTGCCAAAGATATCACTGGCTCAGCCTGTTATTGAATAAATAGAGATGCAAATATGTAATCCTACCTTACTGGAAAGAAGAAAAAAAAATCCTCGGAAAGGAGATTTTTTTTTTTTTAAGCATCCAAATTACAACTAAAAACCATGCCATGGTACCTGAAAGCTGGTCCTCAAATGCTCAGTGTCCAGTTTCCTTCCTTGCTTTCTTCCTTCTTTCTTCTATTTATTCATCCATTCAACCATCCTTTCATCCATTTCCCTCTTTGCCTCCTTCTCTCCCATCCATCCACCTACCCACCCACTCATCCATCCATCCATCCACCCACCCACCTCCCCACCCACATCCATCCATCCAGCCATCTAGCCATCCATCCAACCAACCACCCACCCACTCATCCATCCATCCATCCGTCCATCTGTCCATCCATCCATCCATCTGTCCATCCATCCATCCACCCACCCACCAATCCACTTATCCATCCGTCCATCCAACCATCCATCCACCCACCCACCAATCCACTTATCCATCCGTCCATCCATCTGTCCACCCACACACCTACGCACCCACATCCATCCATCCAACCAACCACCCAATCACCCATCCATCCATCCATCCATCTGTCCATCCATCCATCCATCCAACCATCCATCCATCCGTCCAACCACCCACCTATCCACCTACCCACCCACATCCATCCATACATCTACCCACCCATCCAGCCATCCATCCATCCATCCATCTGTCCATCCATCCATCCACCCACCCACCAATCCACTTATCCATCCACCCATCCATCCATCCATCCGTCCATCCACCCACCTATCCACCTACCCACCCACATCCATCCATACATCTACCCACCCATCCAGCCATCCAGCCATCCATCCATCTGTCCATCCATCCATCCAACCACCCACCAATCCACTTATCCATCCATCCATCCATCTGTCCATCTATCCATCCAACCAACCAACCAACCACCCACTCATCCATCCATCCATCCATCTGTCCACCCACACACCTACATACCCACATCCATCCATCCAACCAACCACCCAATCACCCATCCATCCATCCATCCATCTGTCCATCCATCCATCCATCCAACCATCCATCCATCCGTCCATCCACCCACCTATCCACCTACCCACCCACATCCATCCATACATCTACCCACCCATCCAGCCATCCATCCATCCATCCATCTGTCCATCCATCCATCCAACCACCCACCAATCCACTTATCCATCCATCCATCCATCCATCCATCCATCCATCCATCCAACCATCCAACCAACCAACCAACCAACCAACCACTCATCCATCCATCCATCCATCTGTCCACCCACACACCTACACACCCACATCCATCCATCCAACCAACCACCCAATCACCCATCCATCCATCCATCCATCCGTCCATCTGTCCGTTTATCCATCAATCACCCATCATTCTCCCTCCCTTGTTTCCTCCATCTTTCCCTCCTTTCCATTTCTTCCTTCTTCCTTTTTCCTTCTTTCCTACCATCCGATATTCATTGAACTTATACTATGTGTCCATAGTATGTTAGAAGTAGGATATAGAGATAGTATGGCTTGGTCTCTGCTCTCACAAAACTCCCCGGTGTTGGGGAGACACACAGATAAGCGGACGGTGATAAGAGAATGTGATGTGTTGTGATGGGGAAGCACAGGGCCCTGAGGAAGAACAGAGAAGGCATATTGTTTGTCAGTGATTGCTGCTAGATAATGCTGTGTAACAAACAGCCCCCGCATATCAGGGGCTTATGAGAAACATGATGTCTTGCTCATGGGCCTGTAAGTGGGCTAGGGTGGCTCTGCTTCAGGCTGGAGACAGGATTAGGGCACATGTGCTCCACACGCTTCTTGACCAGTGGTCACCTGGGACTTGTTTTTATCCAGGTGAATGTCAGGAACAGTGAGAGAAGAATGCTTCTGAAGGCTGTGGCTTAGACCCATTATGGTGTCAATTCTGCCACATGCCATTTGCCAAAGCAAGTTCCACAGCTGGGACACACATCAGTGGTGGTGGAGAATGTTCTCTGCCCTCTCTAGTGGGAAGAACAGTGGTCGCATGGCAAAAGGCATGGATGTGTGATTCTAATGGAGGGAAAGAACTGGGCAGTGGTCCAAACTGCCACCAGGCTATGCCTCAGACTTGGGGAGATGATCCAGGAAATGTTCCCCAAAAAGTGTCCCCCTGGGTTGGGTCTTGAGAGGGAAACACAAGCCCTCCCATTGGAGAAAGGGCAGAGGGGGTCTGGGTGGAAGAAAGAGTAAGGGAAAGGCATGGGATGGGAGCCAGCATGGTGCATCCCATTCCCCTGGGGGAGGGGTGACAGGTGAGGCCCGAGAGTGGGGGTGGGGATGGCCGCCCCAGTGGGCAGGATGGCTGGCAGGTGAGGCTGGCATAGGTTTTCACCTGAGGCCAATGGGAAGCCACGAAAGGATTTTGAGCGGGGGAGGGACACGATGAGATGCTTGCTTTGGCTGGTTGTGGTCAATGGACAGGAGGCACGAAGCCTGTGAGGAGGTGGCTTTTCCAGGTGAGTCACAGGCTGCGTAGTTTTGAGTCTCATTTTTGTCTCAATAACTCAAGAGAATGAGGCCCCTGTCTTCGGTTATATGAGACATTCTTTGTGGACAGAGACCGTTTCTTTGCTTTCTCTGCATCCCCCGGCACGGGACTGGGGCCATTCAGAAGACCTCAGGCTCTGCTCCAGCCTCCAACAGTCTGACACTTTGGGCTTCTGAGACCCTTGGTTTCTCTTTAGGTCTGGGACGAGGCCAGTCTGAAGGCGCAAGAGTTGGCTAACAGGGATGGTTGGGTGAACGTCCCTCCATTTGACCACCCCCTGATCTGGTAAGGTTGCTGCCCCTCACCCAAGAAGCCTAGAGCCCAGACCCTCGTTGCGTTGGGATCTTCCCAATGGACAGAAGGGGAGACTGAGGACTAGAAAGGAGTATAGGCTTAGAAACCAGGCACACCAGGGTTCAGGCCCTGCTTCTGTCACTTGTGAGTTGTGTTACCCTGCAAAGTATCTCACCACCCATGCTTCAGTTTCCACATGTGTAAAATGGAAATGTGAATAACAAATCCTGTTTATTGAATGTACTTTGGGATGCATTTGATCCATTTGATCCTCCCCAAAGTCCTAGAAGTGAGTGCTTTATGTCCATTTCACAGGCAAGGAGGGGTCAAGGAACTTGCCTGAGATCACACAGCTAGGAAGTGTGATCTCAGGCAAGCCCAGAACTTGAGTCAGCTGGTTCCAAGTGACATGCTGAGCCCCTCTTAAGCACACACTAACTACATCTTTCCAAGGTTGTGGAAGGGATTAAATGGGACAATGTCTGAGAACATGTCTGGAAAAGAATGAGTGAATGAATAAGTTGAATGAATGAAAGCTGAGTGAACTAAGTGTTGCTGGGGCTCCTCTCCCCTTGATGTGGGTGGGGATTGGGGTGGTGATGAGGAATCTGTGTATATGTGAGCCTTTGGGAATGGGGGTCTTGCTCAACCTGCTTCCTCCTTCCCCTAGGGAAGGCCATGCCAGCCTGGTGCGAGAGCTGAAGGCAGCACTGGGGACCCCACCAGGGGCCCTGGTGCTGGCAGTAGGCGGTGGAGGGCTCCTGGCTGGCGTGGCAGCTGGCCTGGTAGAGGTGGGCTGGCAGCATGTGCCCATCATCGCTGCAGAGACCCAAGGGGCACACTGTTTCAATGCAGCCGTCAAGGCAGGCAAGCTAGTCACACTGCCAAACATCACCAGGTAGGTGTGGGCTGGGGACATTTGTGGGGGGCTGGAGGATGGTGGTGTTATTGTCATAGGGTGTCTCAGTCCCAACTGGTAGAGGCAGGGTGTACACAAGAGGTTCTACTTCACCTGGAGACTCCAACCACAGAAATGTGGATCTCAGTTAGAAGGCAATGCCAAAAAAGTAGATGAAGAATATGATTTATTTAAGTTTCATGAATTAAAAGACAAGTTTCATTGATGTGTATCATTATAAAAGAAGTCTAATGCGTGGCAGATAAATTAGGAAATATAGGCAAGCAATAAGCAACAGAAAACAAAATGGCACCTTCAGTCCTACCATCCAAAGATGAATGATGGGCTGCTTTTTCTCAGTCTTTGTTTTCTTACCACGCACGCATAGTTGCATACAGGTAAAATGTGCCTGGCATATATACTAGATGCTCAAAAAATGTTTGTGAAATGAATGAGTGAATTGATATTATATATCTCTCAAAGAATCCCAAACAGACTCTGCGCCATCAACATAGAGCCCAATGCAAGCCTTACACTCACAAACTGCGAGATCATGACCTGGGCTGGAATCAAGAGTCAGACATTTAACTGACTTAGCCACCCACGCATCCCCTTTTCTTTACCATCCCAATCATCTTTATTAAGCACCAATTATATGCAGGGTTCTGGGTGGCCAATTAGAAAAACAACTCAGTCCTTACTTTAAGGGGTGTTATTGTCATAGGGCTTCTTATACCCAACCAGTAGAGGCAGGGTTTACACAGGAAGTTCTACTTTACCTGGGAACACCAACCATGGAATGTGGAACTCAGAAGGCAATGCCAAAAAGGTAGATGAAGGTATGATTTATTTAAGTTTCATTAATTAAAAAACAGGTTTCATTGATTTGTATCATTATAAAAGAAGTCGAATGTGTGGCAGATAAGTTAGAAAACGTAGGCAAGCAATAAGCAACAGAAAACAAAATGGCACCTTCAATCCCTCCATCCAAAGGTGAATAATGGGCTACATTTTCCCATTCCTTTTTTTCCACTATGCATGCATAGTTACATACAAGTAAAATGTGCCTGGTATATACAGTAGGTGTTCAAAAGATGTCTGTGAAATGAATGAGTGGATTAATCTTATATATATATATATATATATATATATATATATATATATATATATATAATCTTATACACACACATATTTGTTTAAGGTTTATTTATTGATTGAGAGAGAGAGAGAGCACAAACAGGAGAGGGTCAGAGAGAAGAAGAGAGATATCCCAAACAGGCTCTGCACCATCAACATAGAGCCTGATCTAGGGCTTAAACTCAAACTGTGAGATCATGACCTGAGCCAGAATCAAGAGTCAGACATTTAACTGACCGAGCAACCCACGCATCCCCTAAGTCATCTTTATTAAGCATCTAATGTATATAAGGTTCTGGGTGGCCAATTAGAAGAACAACTCAGTCCTTACTTCAAGGAGAATTCTATCTGGGGGTGCCTAGAGGGTTAAGTAGGTTAAACATCTGACTTCGGCTCAGGTCATGACCTCATGGTCCATGAGTTTGAGCTCCACATCAGGCTATGAGCTGTCAGCACAGCCTGGAGCCTGCTTTGCAGTCTCTCTCTCTCTCTCTCTCTCTCTCAAAAATAAATAAACATTAAAAGAATAAAATACTAAAGTCAAACAAAGGAGAATTCTATCTGGATATATGAGTCTCCTTCTTGTCTTTTGGTACCATCTCTGCTCCTTTCTGGCCCCATCCAGCCTCCAGTATCTCTGTGCTGCTTTTTCCTGAAAATTATTTGTGCCTCTAACTTCTGAGCCTTTCTTGTCCTTTCCACCAGAAATACCAGCCCCTCTTGCATTGGTGAAATCCTCCATGGTTCAGCTGGGCAGTTGCCACCCACATGTAATGACCCCAAAGGCACCCTGTGTCACTCTTCGGCCGTGAAAGAGCCTGTGGATGGGCTCGTTCGGTACCTAGGAGTGGTGTTGCTGAGTGTCCTTGTTGCATTGAATCCTTTGTCTGCTCCCAGCACCCCTGCTGACCTACAGGACTCTTCGCCCCTACTCACACTCATCGGTACCTCCCCCAGGCTTCGGGCCCAAATCCGGACTCCTATAGGTCTTACCCCAGCCTCTGGCCTGTCTGCAAGCCCCTTGGATGGGTCGTGCTCTTTCCTACCGCTGACCTCCGCATGAGCTCTTTCCTCTGCCTGGAACACTCTTCCCTCTGCCCTTGTCTCCTTGCAGCTGGGATCTCTCTCTCCTTTTTTTATTTTTTTTAATTTTTTTTTTAATTTCTGAGAGAGAGAGAGAGAGAGAGAGAGAGACAGCGTGAGCAGGGGAGGGTCAGAGAGAGAGGGAGACAGAATCCGAATCAGGCTTCAGGCTCTGAGCTGTCAGCACAGAGCCAGACACGGGGCTCAAACCCACAAACGGTGAAATCATGACCTGAGCCGAAGTCGGACCCTTAACCAACTGAGCCACCCAGGCACCCCTCAGCTGGGATCTCTTACCCCAGAGAGACTGTCCCCACAACCTTGCCTACCAAAGGTCTCCCTCTTCGTATCTACTTATTACATGTTTCCCCCTGCAGACTTTATTCTCATTTATTTCTGTTTATTGGCAGTATATAGTTGACCTATAATACTATATTCATTTCGGGTGTACCGCACAGTGATCTGGGAAGCCTACATTCTGCTATGCTGCCCGCCGTAAGTGTTGTCGCCTTCTGTCACCAGAGAAAGCTATTAGTGTAGTATTGGCTCGATTCCCTGTGCATTACTTTTCATCCCCATGGCTTATTAATTTTATAACTGGAAGTTTGTACCTCTTCCTCCTCTTCACCTATTTCGCCCATCCCCCCAACCCTCTCCCCTCTGGCAACCACTAGTGGGGACTCTGTAGTTATGGGTCCATTTCTCTCGTGTAGCTGTTGGCTTGATTCTTAGTAACGGCGATAATGGTAACCGCCGCTAACGCTTCTGTAGAATTTACAGTTAACAAAATGCTGGGCTCTCTTCTAAGCACTTGAAATGTTTGCACTCCATCCCCATGACAATCTCATGACCCAGGGACTATGACTATGTCCGTTTTTCAGATTGAGGAAACTGAGGCTAAGAGAGGTGAGGCGACTTTCCCAAGGTCACACTGCTAACACAGAACCTAGGCTGGAAACCAGGTGGTCTGGCTGGGGCTCTGAAATCTCGGGGCTCTGAGCCAGCTCTGATGGGCTCACCAGAGGCTCCCCTGGGCTTGAGACAAACTTGAACCAGTTACTTACTCTCTATGAGCTTCCGTTTCCTCATCTTTAAAAGGGAGTTCATAAATTTCTTTCTTTAAAAATTTTTTTTAAATCTTTATTTCTTTTTGAGAGAGAGAGAGCACAAGCAGGGGAGGAACAGAGAGAGCGGGAGACACAGAATCTGAAGCAGGCTCCAGGCTCTGTGATGTCAGCACAGAGCCTGATGTGGGGCTTGAACTCATGAGCTGTGAGATCATGACCTCAGCCGAAGTCGGACGCTTAACCGACTGAGCCACCCAGGTGCCCCGAGAGTTCATAAATTTCTAACTCAACGGCTGATAATGAGAATTGAAAGAGAAAATGCATCCATCACCCTATAGAGGCTCAGTATAAAAATTAGTTATCATATAGACATGATAAATAGTTATTAATGAATAAGATGCAACAAAAAAAATCCATTTCTGTCCTTGGGTTCCGGGGTCTGTGTGAGGAAGGGCACAATCATGGTTATACAGTCAGTGCCTCTGTCAGTCACTCGTGACTCACCCGATTGTTGAGCACCTCCTCGCCAGTGCTGGGCTAGGCTCTTGCCGTGCTGAGCCCCGGCCCGTGGCTGGATGGGAAGGGGGGCCTGGGGCTTGGAGGGCTGGGTCCGTGAAGGCCGAGGTCCAATGACTCGCCAGCTCTTCCCCACGCCCCTGCGCTCTCTGCCCTGCATGCCCTTTCCTGCAGTGTGGCCAAGAGCCTTGGTGCCAAGACTGTGGCCGCGAGGGCCCTGGAGTGCACGAAGGAGCTGGAGATCTTGTCTGAGGTGGTGGACGATGCCCAGGCTGTGAGCGCTGTGCAGAAGTTCCTGGGTGAGTAGGCTCGTCCTCCGTCCCCAGGCTCGGAGACTCATGAGGCCCCCGCGTCCCCTAGAGATAGCGTGCTCTCCCTCGCCTGTATCCTCCGTGCCTACCACAGGGCTGGGCAGCAGTAATGACCAAATAACTGCATGTTGAGCGCATGGAAGAGGCGTGCGCTGGGCCGTCTCCAGTCTCCAGATCTTCCTTCTGGCCGCCCACCCCTGGCCCCTGTCAATTTCATGTGACTCAGGGCTACTCAGTCATCATGGTGCCTCCTCCAGGCAGCCTCCTCCAATCTCCCACCCTCGTTCTGCCTGGGTTAGAGACAGCCCATGCACCAGTCTCTTTGTACCTCGCTGGTTCTCATTCTTCTACGGCACTTGATGCAACCCTCGTGAGGGTGGGGCCTGGTGTTTCCTGTGTACTGTTGTGTCCCCAGGGCCTAGCACAAGGCCTGGCAGGGAGTGGGCTCTCGATAAATATTTGTTGAATGAATGGGTGAATGTATGAGTGAGTGGAAAGGTAGATAATGGATGGATGGATGGATAGATGGATAGATGGACGGACACATTGATTAATGGACACACTGATGGATGGACAGACAGTCCAATGATGGATAGGGGATGGATGGATGAATGGATGGATAGATAGATGGATACACTGATTGATGGATACACTGATGGATGGACAGACAGAGAGTCCAATGATGGATAGAGGAATGGATGGATAGATAGATGAAAGGTGGATGGATGGATGGATGGATGGACGGATGGATGGATGGATGGTCGGATTGATGGATGGAGAGAGGGTCAGACAAATGATGGATTGTGAGACGGCTGCCTGGCTGGCTTCATGGCTTGCAGTGCTCAGAGCCTACAGAGCACTAACAGGTTCTTCTCCCTTTCTCTCTTCTCCTCCACCCCCCCCTCCTCCTCCGGGCAGATGACGAGTGCATGTTGGTGGAGCCAGCCTGCGGGGCAGCTCTGGCTGTCATCTACTCAGGCCTCCTGGGGAGGCTCCAGGCTGAGGGCTGCCTGAGCCCCTCTCTGGCCTCGGTCGTGGTCATTGTGTGTGGAGGCAACAGCATCAATAGTCAAGGGCTGCAGGCTCTGAAAGCCCAGCTGGGGCAGAACTGAGGGCTCCTCGTCTGGATGGACACACCTGCAGCTGGCTGAGGGGCGTCCGTGTTCGTGGATGACCGTGGAAGCTGGCTGCCAGCTTCCTCCTACAGGAAGCCCTCCTGCTCCCTGTGGCTCCCCCGCAGCCCCGACCAATCAACACTTTCTGGGTGTGATTTGTAATACGGGCTGGCCCAATTTTCTTGCTCCATGAGCTCACGGAAGACACACGGCAACCTGGAGGCTGGCTCTGTGGTGAAGCGCCTCTTGCTACATCACAGGGCTTGGGCGATAACTCCAGGGAAGCTGAACTCCTGCCAGGGCTTCTGTCACCTGGGGGACCCGCTCGGGAGGAGGGGGATGCTCAGGCCTGGACAGGCAAGGACAATATCACCGGTCTTTACCAAGTCCTTGAAAAAAATTTTTTAACATTCATTCATTTTTGAGAGACAGAGCACAAGCAGGGGAAGGGGCAGAGAGAGCCACACACAGAATCTGAAGCAGGCATCGGGCTCCGAGCTGTTAGCACAGAGCCTGATATGGGGCTTGAACCTACAAACTGCGAGATCAGGACCTGAGCCAAAGTTGGATGCTCAGCTGACTGAGCCCCCCAGGAGCTCCTTTACCAAGCGCTTTTTATGTGCCAGAACCTCCTTCTAAGACCTCTCCATTCACTGTCTTCTTTAATGTTCACAAAGGTCCTACCTTTGTGAAGCAGAAACCATTATTATCATTCCTGTTCTAAAGATGGGGAAACTGAGGCACAGGAAGGCGATCGAGACCCACTGAAGGTCATAGGTGGAATGCGGCCCAGCCAGGCTCAAACCCTGTGGTTTTCAATATGACACCTTTGTGTGCAGGTCGGTGGTGAGGGGACACTGGGAGAGGAAGTAGGAACCTCAGGTTGGTTTGGGTACCCCTGTGGGTCACAAGGTGGGTGGGTGCTGGTGCTGGAATTGGGCACAGCCGACCTGTGGGAAGCATCGTTGAGGAGGGGAAGTTAGAATCTTTTGGAGCCACCAGGGGGCAGCAAAGCGTCTCTGATGGGGAAGCCTGGCTCTGGGCTGGGACGGCGGGGACAGGCCCCTCCAGCCTCCCTGGGATCTGCCCCTCAGGGGCCTTCACCCCAGCTAGGGGCGCTGGGGTCCCAGAGGTGGCTGGGGCCCACAAGCTCTTGGCATTGGGAAGCCCTATCCCACCCTCACTACCCTGCTGGAAACAGGGCTCCAAGGGTGTGGGGTCCACCTGCCCCTGGCAGGTTCCCAGGCTGCCCAGTGAGTCCCCCTCTGCTGCCTCAAGAGGGCTGTGTGTGCTTGGGCAAGTGCCCTACCTTCTCTGGGCCTCAAAGCCTGTGCCTCTGTGCTGGCTTCCCACCTCTTTTCCTTTCCCAAGCTCTTCCCCCTTCTAGGCACCTCCTCCTTCCTTCAAGAGAATTTGAGAGCTGCAGTGAGCTCCCTCTGCCTGTGTCCCATTCTCTCTTTGACCCTGACATTGCCCTTGATTGCCAGGGTTGTCCGTCCAGAAGCCACTGGGCCCTGCCATATTTCCTGGGAATCCTACAGCGTGAGCTCCCCAGAATCGAGGGGGCGCTGGGAGCCCCAGCTGTGGACCCAGCCAGAACTGAGCCCAATGCCTTTCCTCCTCACTAGCCTTGAGCAAGCGATGCTCTGCTTCAGAGCCTCAGTGTTCTAATCTGTAAAATGGGTGGTTTGCGAATTCTTGCTATGGACCTGGCATATTTCAACCAGTGTTAGTTCTTACGACCCCCTGAGCATTCCTCCCCCGCAATGAGGGGTGGGGAGGAGCTAGAATTTATTCGTGCCTTGGGTACTTACTGTGTGCAAATGGGCCTTAGCAGTCATTTAATCCCACAGTTACCCATGTGGTAGATACGGTTACGTGCATTTTTGTAAATGGGGAGACTGAGGCACAAATGAGTTGAGTGCGTCCTTCAGGTCACACAGCTGAACTAGAACCCTGATGTGTAAACCTCCGAGGCTCACATATGTAACTGCTACTCCTCTCATGCTTCTCCGTGCTTCTAAATCCTACGTGTTTTCAAAGCTCACTGGGAGGGCGGCCTCCTCCCAGAAGCCCCACGGGATTGCTTCCATGAGCGCTGCTCTTCCCTCCGCCCCGTCCTGCACCAGGTGAGTGACAGAGCTCACGGCAGTCCCAGGTGCTGTGCCTCCCAGGCTCTGCCACCGGCCACACTCCTGGGAGACTCGTCAGCTGCTGTTTGCTCCCCTCCCGGCCTCACCAAGCCAGAGATAAGACGCCGAGGGGCCTGTTGGCCCGGTTCAGATAACGCCCGTCAGTGACCTTACCTTAGCCCTTCCTGGCTGACACCCCGGGAATGCCAGGGACAGGGCGGAAGCGCAGGGAGGCAGCGAGGACACGGATGGTGGAAGCCGAGGCCGTGGATGCCACGTGTGGACGCTGTGGCCCTGGTGTAGCAGGACGGGCACTGGGCACGGGGACTCCCCCCATTCTGTGCCCTCGGACTGCTCCGTGGGGGAAACGGGGGGCCCGGAGGAGGTGTGCGTGCCTGCCCCCCTCCCTGCCGCCGCGGGGGCCCCTGCGCTGGGCCGCAGGCCCCCTTGGGCTCCCTGTGTGTTCTAGTAGCTGAGGTTTCCTCTGGCCCCCTCGCTGGCCTGTCTCCAGAGGCCCCCCTCCATCTAGTCCTTTATTCCAGCCTTCCAGAGGGGTGACAGGAAGCTTGGAATCCAGACAAGGCGGGAGGCGAGGAAGGGGACCCAAGTCATACATCCGACAGCAGCTCCCCCTTCTCCAGCCTGAGCGGTCACATCCCCAGCGTGGGGCTGGCTCTGTGTCCCCGGTCGTCTGTGTGTGCGCCCGTGCACTTGTGTCCTTGTGTGCATGTGTTTGTGTCCGTGTGTGTGTGCGTGTGGGAGAGGACACACCCTCATGCATTTGTGAGGAAATCTTGCCATTAGTTGAAGGCTATTTGAGGGGCGCTGGGGTGGCTTGGTGGGTGGTTGAGCGTCCGACTTCGGCTCAGGTCATGATCTTGCAGTTTGTGGTTCGAGCCCTGTGTCAGGCTCTGTGCTGACAGCTCAGAGCCTGGAGCCTGGTTTGGATTCTGTGTCTCCCCCCTCTCTCTGCCCCTCCCCTGCTCATGTTCTGTCTCTCTCTCTCTCTCTCTCTAAAAAATAAATAAAACATTAAAAAATGTTTGAAGGCTATTTGATTTTCCTCATAGTGAGTGGTGTTTCACATCTTTGCACGTGGGGCTTATCATCTGATCACTAAGCATACTTCAGTGCCTACAGTGAGACAGGCTGGGGGCAGGACATTAGGGAATGGTGGGCTTTGGAGCCAACCGAGAGCTTGCGCTCCGTCTAAAGGAGGCAGGCACTGCTCAAGCCCGTCTGATCAAGAGCCGGTACAACAGATCTCCTGACTGTCTAGCTCAGATTCAAGGCAATTTAGGAAACACCATATGCTGTCTTTGCCCACACATTCGTATAAAGTCTCTGATAAGTCCTGCAGGAAAGTGACTGCTGTGAATCCAGAGGAGCATGTGACCCTAGCCTGAGCCAGCTTGTGGCTTGTATCTCCCCTGGCCACAGCGATTGGTTCCAGGTGGGCCCGGGAGCCCCGCTGTCCAATCAGAGTGTCTGTCCAGACTTTAGGGGGGAACTGGGAGGCACCCCTCGACTGTTCATTTATTTATGCAAGCCAGTACATTCCCCTTTATGCTGTAGCCCGCCGTGTCTGTCACTTGGGACAGGAAGGGGCCTGACTGATGGCCTACGCTGTCAGTACACGTCCCTCGAATTGCACTCGCTTACTGTGAGCTGCTAGGCTTGAGCCCGACCCGCGGCTGGCCCTCGGCAACAATGAGGCCAGTCTGAGGTCTTTCTCTGCCTGTCTTTGGGTGCACTTTTTATTCTCACTCCTGGGCATGGGGGTTCACTCCGCCTGCCTTTATGGGAAGAGCAAAGCATAACCCACACTGTGATATTGATGACGTTGTGGGGAGCAGTGTTTTATGAAGCTGAGAGGGTGTTTTCAATCAGTGCGTAGGAGCCTCTTTTGGAAGAAGCCGGTGCGAGTGGTGGTTGAGCCCCGTACAGACAGCCGACTGCCAATTTTCCGTACGCCTTCGGGGCCTGCGGCCAGCATCGCTCAGACTTAGAGCCTCACACCCGCCTTTCCTGGAAGGCCTGGCGGAACTGTTAGCTGACGGTGAGGAGGTTGGTGAGGCCCAGAGAGGGGCAGCGCCTCGCTCCAGGACACCTGCTCTTCACGGGTCCCTGGTAAGACTCTCGTTCTCATGAGGATGTAGAGCCCACTTATTCCTGATCTCAATATCCAGCTCCTCCAGGGCTTTCTGGGAGTAGACCGGCCATTCAATGTCCCATGAAGGGGACGGAGGATCCATCCTGCACCCGCACACTCGGTTCCATTCTTTTGTGTTGCTCGTTCGTTTCACAATGAATGAACACATGTGAGTATATCAGTTAGGATTAGGTTCAGCTTTGCAACTCAGAAAACGCAAAAATAAGTGGCTTAACCAAAACAGTTCATTTCTCCTTCACTTAAAAGGGCTGGTGTAGTGTCTCAGTGATGTCAAAGACCCAGGCTCCTTTGCTTTCGGTTGCTCAGCTGTGAATGCATTCCATTTCCATGGTCGCTTCATAGTCCCACATGGATGCTGGGGGGCCAGCCATTACATCCTCATTCCAGGCAGTAGGAAGGAAGAAAGGATGAAGAAAGGCACATTTCTTCCCTTTAAGGACACTCCCCGTAATTAATGTACACTATTTCTACTCATAGCCCGTTGGTCAGAACTTAGTCACATGAGAGCTAGCTGCAAGGGAGGCTGGGAAATGTGGTCTTTGTAACAGACAGCCATATGCCCAGCTAAAACCAAAGGTTCTGTTACAGAAAAAGAAGAACAAATGAATGTTGAGGGATGGCAAGAAGTCTTTGGCATACAAACTAAATGTGTTAGGGTACAGGTTAAGTTGGTACAGTGAAAATACCCCAAACTACAGTGTTAGTTCAGAGAAGGGGGTGTCTCTGTTCCACTAGGTTATACAGGGACCCAAGTTCCGTCTGTCCTCTTGTTTTACCATCGCTGAAAATATTGTCCTTGTCCACATGCTCAAAACTGGTCCATAATAACCGAGGCTGCAGTGGGGAAAAGAGAAAGTAGAGGGCAAGAAGTTTCCTTTTTAAGGGCATCGCTTGGGTGTGACACACTTTTTGTCTGCTCGTGTCCCATTGGCCAAGGCTTAATCACATGGTTCACCTAGCTGCAAAGGAATA